CTAATGTTTACTGAGTGCTTACTGCACGTCAGATAACTGTGTTAAATGCGTCACATTTAATCTTTATAACACTATGAGGCAAATGCAATTTTGTAGATGAAAGACTGTAACTTAGTGAGGGGGGCCAGGATTCAATTCATGTTTCTGACAAATAAGCTAAGTTATTTCTAGAGCAGTGGTTATTAAACATATTTGGGATCATAAATCCTGGTAGAAATCTGATAAAAAGCTATGGATTATCTCCGCCAAAGAACTTGTAAGTATGTAAAATTCTACATATTAAATTTTGGGGTCTCACAGACCTTCCCTCTCAAAGCCCTTCTACTGACGCATTAAAAGTCAGTCTCACCTTAGATTATACTTAAGGGTATTCAACTAGAAACCAGAAAATTTTAACATTAAAAACATTACAGTACTATGATTGTGTTCATGTTGTGATGAAGGTCTAACATACCTTAAAATACCTGAGAGAAAAGTATTCAATTTTGTAGACTTAAGATGCTACCCGGAAGAAACAAAATCAAAACAACAAACAGCACATTCTGCTTTTTTATCTGAAGCAAATATGTGTAATATATTGGTAGAAACCATTCTGTTAACCAAATCATGTCTTTAATTGGACAAGTTAAAAACAGGCTTACTGTAAAGAATTCAGAAAATTGGTAAAAATGTATAAAGCCAGAGGTGCTTCCTGTTAATTAACCCATGTGGCATATTTCCTTCAAGCTTTTTAAAGACTGGAACACCATTATTTCTGAATAGAATAGTATCTAGTATCTTCAGTTGACAATAGTAACTCTAATGTAATGCAAAATTTCTAGTTGTATTCTGAATAAAATGTTTAGTTTTTATTTTACTGTAGCTAATTCTAGGAAAATATTTAAACACGAGTGATATTGTCACTAATCATGATTTCCCCCCGTAAAGAGGATTTACCATATAGCACTTAATATATTTAAATATTCCACTAGACCACTCGTTACGGCAGAAGATGCCCAAGATAAAACAACTTTACAGTCTTAACCACAAGAATATAATCTTGATTTCATAATCGTTAAGAATCACAGCATTTTGAATTCTGGAGTCAGTGTTCATACGTTCCAATATTTCAAGCTATTAAAGAACAGTCTGGCTAAGATGACTAGTTTGAGGTCTGGAGCTAGACTATTTGAGTACGAATTCTTGCTCTGCCATTCAACTAACTGTGATAACGTTTTGTTCTAGTCATAAGAGTACCATCTAGTTTTAAGTTTCTCATATTTCAGGCAGGATTTAACTACACAGGTTAGCTAGACAAACAGAGGCATCTTAAAATTTTCTTGCCTTGTTTACAGCTCAAGAGTTAATCACAAATAATGCCAATGAAGTACTTCAAATTTTTACGTGAAATGACAAAAAAAGAAACCAAAGCAACAGCATTTTTATCTTTAACCATATACAAAACTTAATGCTGCTACTGTATTTATTTACTAATAACTAAGCACAATTTGGCATTGCTGTAACAAGGTAATCACGAATTGTTGAGAACATGTGGCTATTAGGAATGCAAGAGTAATTGATATAATTACATATCACCACAAGATGGAGTGAGAGTTCAACACACACACACACACACACACACACACACACACACACACACACGCCTCTCAAAAGACTTACTGATCTTATTCCATTCTGCCATCTAGTGGCAATATAATTAGGTATTACTCTCTTGGCTCAGTCTCCTATATAATAAAATAAAAATAAGCAGTTTCATAAGAGTTAAGAAATTAGGTGAAAGATAAGATTAAGCACAGAAAGAGGTAATATCATTCAGTATAATGGCAAGAAGCATGAGAGAATGTCAGAGTGAAGTCCCAAACAGGCAAAACAAGTTTAAAAAATAAAATCTATTTAAAAACTAAAACAATATCTATTTTAAAATATAACTTTCTTCTTTAATTCCTTTTAGTATAAAGAACTCCAAAGATGGCTTCAACTATCCCTTTAAAAGGACAAGTAGTTTAAACATTTTAATGTTGTCTTTTTTATTTAATAAAATTGAAAACTATAAAATCACAAGGAAGGAAGTTCTCTAGGAACTTACACATATTTTGGGTAGGACTATTTAGATTTATAGTCTATAATATTTTTCTTTTCATTGAATAACAATGCTTTTATTTGCTTAAGTTTCGCATTTGGCATTTAAGGGGTATAATTTTAAAATTTTTTACCAAAAAAATGTACATACTATGTCAAACATACATAATCAAAATTAGAAAGCAAAGGGTTAATAGTCTTGATAATTAAAAAAGCTCTATAAATCAGAAAAAGACAATCACTCCAAAAGGAAAACATGAAAGATATGATCAAGCCATCTACAAATAATGTAGTTAATAAACAATAAAAAATATCACTCATTAGTAACCTGATTAAAATGATGATCTTAATAATGACATTAAAATAATATTTTTTGCTTCTCAGTCTATCAAAGAGAAAGATTTATAATAACCAGTTTTGGTGAGGACATAGAAAAGCAGATGCTGTTGGTAAAACTGTAAACTGTGCAACCATTCTAGAGTACGTTGAATGGGAATACATTTTTACTTAGATTTTCATCTTCTAGAAATTTATGCTAGGCAATAACTCCAAGTTTATACACAAAGATTTATCTGTAGGGATATCATTAATTAAATTGTTGCTTGTAACAGCCCAAACCTGGCCATATGTAAAATTTCAACCATAGGCGATTCAGCTAAGTAAACTATGGCACATCCATATGCTAGAATACTACATAACTTGTAAAAGTCATGGTGTAGAAAGATTAATGACATCAGAAAATGCTCACCTCTATGTTAAAAAGCAGGTTATAATGCTATATGTATAGCATGATACCAATTTTTTTTTCTTTTTTAAAAAAGTACTTTATTTTCCTCTTTGTGCTTTTCTAAATTTCCTAATTTACATGTATTGTTTTTATAATCAAAATAATATGATAAAATTACTAATTTATTACACATCACAAAACTCTTGATTACTGTATTTTCATATAAAATATAAAATTTTCCAATCAAATTTACATTTGCATATTTAGGTGAGTGGAAGTAATCTTAGGTTAAATACAGATTTCAGATGTATGTGTTCAACACAAAAAGGATACTGAGAAAGATTCTTAGATAATTTTAGGTAATTTCAAGAGACCACTTAAAGCTAATAAGCATGGTTTGGAAATTCCTCACAGAAAAGCCAGAACTACATCTGCACTTAAGACAACATTTTAAAATTTATTATTCTAAATCTATTAGTTGTTTTGCATTCTCTTTCCAAGATCTAAGTATATTTTCTGAATATTCAAATTTGACTCTTTCTTAAAATTAAAATATCAAAATGACCTCCCCAATATTAAATATCATAAAATTGCAGATTATCATTTATTCATGGAAATAACCTAATGAAAGTCTCTTATTTACTAAAGAACAGTCCACTTATCCAAAGAAGATATTTATTTCAATACTGTCATTCTATAAGAACAAGACACCAAAAAGAAAATAATGAGTTTAGTGTATTAAACTAGCTGCTTCTTGCCAGTACAAGAAAACATATAAGTTAAATAAAAATGGATGTAAGTTTAACACTGAAACTTCATTCACAACATATTGGGTGGGCCAAAAAGTGCATTCGGTTTTTTAAGTAAAAATAAAAGACACATTTTTCATTTTCACCAAGAACTTTATTGAACAACGTATTCACCTTTTTGTTCCACAACCTTCTGCCATTTTTCAGGCAACTTCGTAATTCCATCTTCCCAAAACTTTTCATCTTTTTGAGCAAAGAACTGTTCCAGATGCCTTTTGCAGTCTTCCAGGGAATTGAAATTTTTTCCATTAAGAGAATTTTGTAAAGACTGAAATAAATGGAAATCCGAAGGTGCAATGTCTGGTGAATATGGCGGTTGAATCAGAACTTCCCACCCAAGCTGTAACGATATTTGCCTGGTCATCAAAGAGACATGCAGCCTTGCGTTATCCTGACGGAAGATTATGTATTTCCTGTTGACTAATTCTGGACACTTTTCATCGAGTGCCGCTTTCAGTTGGTCTAATTGGGAGCAGTACTTGTTGGAATTAATCGTTTCGTTTTCCAGAAGGAGCTCATAATAGAGGACTCCCTTCCAATCCCACCATATACACAACATCACCTTCTTTGGATGAAGACTGGCCTTTGGTGTGGTTGGTGGTGGTGCATTTCGCTTGCCCCAAGATCTTTTCCATTCCACATTGTTGTACAGTATCCACTTTTCATCGCCCGTCACAATTTAAAAACGGAACATTTTCATTACGTTTCAGTAGAGACTCACATGAGGAAATATGATCAAGATGGTTTTTTTCACCTAACCTATGTGGAACCCAAACATCAAAGCGATTCACATAACCAAGCTGGTGCAGATGATTTTCAACACTTGATTTGGATATTTTGAGTATGTCAGCTATCTTCCGCGTGGTATAATGTTGATCTCAATTATTTTTTCGGTTTGATTCCTATCAACTTAAACTGGTCTACCCAACCGTGGAGCATTATCCAGCAAGAAATCTCCAGCACGAAACTTCACAAACCACTTTTGACATGTTTGATCAGTCACAGCTCGTCCTTCACACACTGCACAAATGTTTTTGTGCGTTTCAGTTGCACTTTTACCTTTCTTGAAATAATAAAGCATACTATGCTGAAAATATTGTTTTTTTCTTCCATCTTCAGTATTTAAATGGCTACACAAAAATTCACCAATTTTGGTAAGTCTTTTTTTAATGCACGCTGATCTGACAGCTGTCACATACAATCTAACAAAATTGTTTCAAATAAAGTTAAAGACAACTAAGCGCTACTAGATCCATCTTATAGAAAAAACTGAACGAAACTTTTGGCCCACCCACTACAGTGGTCTTCTACTAGCAGAATTTGAAAATTACATCTTTTCAGCTGTATTCTAAACAAAAGTAATTAAAAATCAATTCAAATAATTTAGAATAAGTGCTTTATTTTAATTCCCACAAAAACTGAAACTATCATTTACGTCAGTTGCAACAGCAATAAAAATTAGAAGTCAATTCGTTTCTTGAAAACACTTTTTATAAGCATAAAACAAAAGTAAAGGACACAAAAAGGTACTCCTTTTAAACTGAAGATAATCTGATTACTTGTGACATACACACCTGCAGATGTACAAACAGCAAATGCATTCAAAACAGTGCAAGATTTAACTAGTTTAGGACAGTATTCCAACCAATCCCAACTCAGTTTTCAATTACTTGTGTAGGCTTATATAGTCACAAAAAGTAAATCTCTTCTAATACGTAACTGGCTGATGCCAATTCAGAACATTCCATACCAACACAACAATAACTATGGAAATCATGAGGTATGACTAACGGGGAAAAAGGCAAAACCCAACATCCAAAGTGCATATACTTCAATATAACTGCAATATATTTCTACTTCTGTAAAAAAAAAAAAAAAAAAAAAAAGTTTTCTTTAAACTATAAATCTAAAAGAAAAGCAAATGTATCATTTCACATTCTTTTTCTGAATTTAAAAAACATATACATAATTGTCCTTTGTTTTTGATAAGTTCAAATATGAATTGACAGTGGGGTTATTGGATTCTTTAAGAAAGCTCTATAGAATAGATGACTATAACATACTATATCTTCTTTAAGAAGTATGAGCTGAAATGTTAGGCATTCCTTGTGTTGTTTTTGTATATATTTAAGGAATGCTGTTCTTATAAACAATGGCTTTGAAAACGAAATATATTATTTCAAATATATATTTGAGACCAAAATATATTACTAGAGGATCTCTATAAAAGGTTACCAAAATTAAACTTATTCGTGAAATCAGGGAAAACGTTTTTAGAATTTATCTTTCTAGAAAATAATGCTGCCATTTTTCTTCCTTTTTCTTTTTTCTGATTATCACAATTAAACATCAGAGGATTTCCCCCAATAAATACTGATGTAAATGTTGATTTCAAGGGCAAACAACTTTCATAAGAGTCTATTTCTCAGGCAGTTCACCATGTGTTGAGACTGAGGCAGCACTGTTCTGGTGTGAATTGTCACTGGACTGCTGTGAAGTATTCCTTCTGGGAGAGTTTGTTGGGACCCGAAGCTGATTGTCAGGTGTAGGCTTAGCAGCACTCGGTGACTTTGTAGAGGAATTAGATGGAAGTCTGTGACGATTACTCGCATCACCAGAAGTAGATGAATGTCTTTTTCTTCCAAATTCCTCACCTATAGGGGGCTGCAAATTATGAAAGACAACATAGTGATGATTTTACTATTTTTTCCTCCCTTCAAAATCTAAGGCCAGACTTTTCTAACAGAGGGAAACTATGCCGGCACTTCAGTAGATTTTATTAGTATAATGAAAACTTAACAGCAATTTAAGGTATTAAACTTAAATTTCCTCCTTATCAGTCAATTCTTTCATTTAACATGTTTATTAAGCTACCCCTATGTTTTAGGGCTTGAACTAAATAGTAGGGCATAAGGATAAGGCTGGGTTTGTTGTCTCTGGGAAAATGTTTCAGAGAGGACATTTTCCTTCTTTATGAAACTTCTGTCAGTTGCAAAGCATTTATAACTCTAACCCCTTTCTTCTCCAAACTTCCACAGTATTTAAAATGCAAATAGTCATACTTAACAGCACTGATACAGGAAAACATGACACAAATTTAAAAGCAGAGGTCTGAATTCTTGGCTTCTGTTCAGATAGGGCAAAAATCACTAGTATTATAAAGCAGGGACATCTTGTGACAGAACTGGCTGGACCACTCTAGAAACATAGCTTTTTTTTTTTTTTTTTAAATTTTTGGCCATGCTGCAAGGCATGAGGGATCTTGGTTCCCTGAGCAGGGATCGAATGTGTGCCCCTTGCATTGGAAAGTGTGGAGTCTTAACCACTGGACCACCAGGGAAGTCTGAAACACAGCTCTTTAATTCCAGAGATGGAGGCATTTCTATTAACTCCATCCCTGGGCTATCAAATCTATTTACACAAAACTACAAAAGACAAACTAATTATAATACTAAGCAGAGATGAACCTAGCCTTCCTTTCACCTCTCTCTTTTCTGCTCTTTTTGATTCTTCTTTCCTTATTTCTCTCTTCTCTTCTTTCTCCTTTTCCTTTATCTTATTATGCTCATCCACTTCTTTTCTTAAAATGTTTTCCTTTTCCTCTTGAAATCAAATTGTCTAAACCCTATTCTCCTGTCTCTACACATGCACATAACATTCTTGCCCTAATTTTATTATGTGGGGAACCATAAATCCATGTTACATGAGCACGTGTTATGGAAACTATAGGATACAAGTACATAAAAAGTGAAAAATTTAAAAACTGCTAGTGAGGGGACTTCCCTGGTGGTCCACTGGTAAAGAATCTACCCTAAATGCAGGGGACGTGGGTTCAATTTCTGGTCAGGGAACTAAGATCCCACATGCTGTGGGGCAACTAAGCCCACATGCCACAACTCCTGAGCTCACGTGCCTCAACTAGAGAGCCTGCGTGCTGCAGACTACAGAGCCCACATGCTCTGGAACCTGCACACCACAACTACAGAGTCCACAGGCCCTGGAGCCTGCACAACACAACTAAAGAAGAGAAAACCCACACGCCACAACTAGAGAGAAGCCCGTGTGCCACAACGAATATCCCGTGTGCCGTGACTAAGACCCGACACAGCCAAAAATGAATAAAATAAAATAAAGAAATAATAAAGAAATCTTTAAAAAATAAAAATAAATAAAAACTGCTAGTGAGAAATGAGTAACATATCCATATAAAAGTTACTAAATCCATAAAATGTTTATCATGCATATCAAAATTAAAGTGAACTGACCATTGCTCCATGGTCATGTAAGATATTAACATTTAGGGACTCTGGGTAAACAGAATATATGGGAATTCGCTATACTATTTTTGCACCTCTTTTAAAGTTTGATTTCAAAACTGGAAAGTTAAATTTTCAAAATTAAATTTAAAAAATAAAAATTATACTGGGCTTCCCTGATGGCGCAGTGGTTGAGAGTCCGCCTGCCGATGCAAGGGACACGGGTTTGTGCCCCGGTCCGGGAATATCCCACATGCCGCAGAGCGGCTGGGCCCGTGAGCTATGGCCGCTGGGCCTGCGCGTCCGGAGCCTGTGCTCCGCAACGGGAGAGGCCACAGCAGTGAGAGGCCCGCGTACCGCAAATAAATAAATAAAAATTATAAAATTAAACTTAAGAAAGTCACTGATAGCTCAAACATAAGAGTAATAAAAATAATACAGGGGAAAGGACTTAAAACTTACGTCAACACGGAAGTCTTCCAACTTCTTAAAGCTACAGAGGTATTCCTGAAGTTTGGGGTCAATAGACTGTGTCTTAGATTGAGAATATTTTAGGTAAGCCCAAAACTTTTCTAATCCATACAGCTGACCTAATAACAAAGAAGAATATACATGATAAAATATATAGAATCTTTAAAAAATGATTCATATTGGATATGATCCTACCAGCATTAAACCATGTCTTCTATGTACACTTTATCTAGATCTTGAAGATAAGACATTGTAATGAATAATGGCAGCTAACATTTACTGAGCATTTGCCATGTAACACGTATTATTTAAGTGGTTTATTGTATATTAAACTAATTTGAACTATATACAACCCTGTAATATAGGTGCTCTTGGGTATACTACTGATGAGTAAACTGGGCTAACAAGGTTTTGGGGTTTTTTTTGTTTGTTTGTTTTTCTAACAAGGTTAAGTAACTTACCCATGGCCACAGAGCTACAAAGTAGGGGAAATGGGATTCAGACTTACGGATCTAGCCCAGAGTCTGCACTGTTACTCACTGTGCTATTCCACCTTTCCAAACACACTTGCTCATGTTGCATAGAATTTTCATGTAATGGAACATCAGTGAGTAGTCATGTGTGTCAAATGAATAAAGACAAAATACAAATAAGGAAACACTTCGGAGTGGCTCTTTTCCAACATCTCACAAGTAAGACCTTCATACTATATGGTGCTCTATCCTTCATCACAAATCATAATAGTGGCCTGAAAGTCTTAACTAGTCTGCCCTAAAAAAAAGTTACAAACTCCCTATTTATTGACAGACTCAGATTTACAATTTCCAAATAGAATAAGTTTATTGTTTTATTTTACCAGATTCGCAGTCTTTTTTGGTTTCTTCTTGGAAATCCTTAAAAATTTCTTGTCTGAATTTTTTTTCCAGTCCATAACTATAAAACCTGAACAGACATTCTAATCCATACCTGTGGGAAGAAAATAAAAAGTTTATAATAAAATTTTTCCTATGACAATGCAAATAGTCATATTTAACAGCACTGATACAGGAAACATGACACAAATAATCTCAAACAAAAGTGTTCAAATATATGTAATTTTTAGTACGCAGATTTTTAGCTGAAGTGGTAATTAGTAATCTACAGCTGGCTTTGCTATTTTTGTTGACTCAGGCATAGCATCTCATGGAGGTATACTGGGAATATGCAAAATAAGAGGCAGTCCTTGGACAACTACACTATGGCTTCTTTGAACAGACACAGGATCTCTCCCTGGTATTTCTGAAGAACTCCCTGGCATTTTTCCCCGGTATTTCAAAAGATTTAGTGACAAACTGGCAATGTTTTAGATTTTTTCCCAAACCAAGGCTTATAATGGTGTGTTAGTACATGGTATTAAATACTCGAACATAATCTCTAGGAAGATAAAGACCATACTCTTGGGCCACAGACTCTAGGTGTGGTTGACCCATTCAACTATAAAGGGACAAACCTAATTAAATGTCTCCTAAGAGAGCCTTCCTGCTTATAAAGTATATTAAATAAAAGATATTTTGCCAAAAGAATTGTATCACTGCATAAATCAGAAAAATTTGTTTCTTCTTACAGCTACCTAAAGAACCTGAGACAAGTTTTGGACAGTGGATCAAGAAACTACATGGGCTCAACCTTCAACTAATGGTGATGAGCAGAACCCATGAGAGTGGACATGGACAAGGTCAATGGACAGCAGTAAAGGGACCATCCAGCTCATTCAAAGAAAGCATGTAGCAATTTAGAAAATCCCTCATGTAGAATCCTTAAGTCATTCTGGGTGCCTCAGTGGAGGGGAGGCTATATTTCTTCATTCCTGGTATCATAATACTGCCCAACCATTATTCACAGGAAGAAGAGGGTGTGTGTGTGTGTGTGTGTGTGTGTGTCCATGCATATGTCCTTTGTAACCAGCTTATTTACAAGATAGAGAGTGACGGTCTCTCTGGAAGAATAAACATGTTTCTTGGTAAGATGGCAAGAGGAATGCAGGACTACCAACCATACACTAACCTGAGCCCTTTCCTTTGGTAGCCATAAATGACACTATTCCTTGAGCTTGTATGACTGAGGCTAAGGGGACTGAGTACTAAAGGAACAACAGTTCAGAATGACAAACCTGTCTTAATACTCCTCTTATGGGATCATATTATATTGATACCAGTGGTTCTCAACCTTGACTACCTATGTGAACCATCTAGGAAGCTTTAAAAAAATGCTGACACCCAGGCTCTACTCCAAACCAATGAAATCATAATCTCTGGGGCTGAAGCCTAGGCTTCTTTCTTTCTTTCTGGAAAGCAGGATTGAGAAATTTTAGGTTTTATCAAGTAAATGACATTTTAGAGGAATGTTAGGATTCTTAGATTTTTGGGTAAAGGCCAACTGACTACTACAATATCTGGATTTCTAGTCTTACTTTTTAGGAAACTAATTCCAAAGATCAAAAATATGACATTAATAATACAATCCAAATATGCATCATAAATGCTGGAGTAAAGAGCAGGGGCAAATGACCAGTCTCTCAGTTGTCATTTACTCACTGACCAATCACTGTGAGACAGCTTAGATGAGTAGAAAACAAAAAGGCTGAGAACCGGAAAGAACTATATTTGAATTCTAGGCTTATAATCATCTCTCTAAAAATGGGGATAATAATATCCTACTTTTCAATAATAGATAATATTTGTAAAGCACTTAGACCAGAGCTGGCACATTGCAGATGTGTATGTAATTAATGTTACTTCTCTCCTTTCTTCTTGAAACCATCCTACTGCTAATGTTAGTCAATGGATATATTCAGTACTGATCTTCTTCCTAATAAAAGTAACCATTTATTGAGCACTTACTATGTATCAGGTAGTATGTTAAGCTATTATAAACATACACAGAATACCATAGGAACAAAGAAGAGGAACTCCCAATCTAGACTTGGGTATAAATGGGATCAGAAAAGTTATAGAAAGTCCTGAGGAACAAACAGAAATTATTTGCATAAATAGCAAAATATGCTGAGATTAATTATAACAAATGCTTTCAAACTTTTCTAAGTCCAATAGTAAGAAAAATATTTTACCTTGTGACCAAGTCAACACTCACATATATACGTGTGTACATAAAAACATATATGTTTTGTAAATAATTAAATTTGTATTTATGTATGAATTGTAAAACATATTAACCTTACTATGTTCAGTGCAGTCTGATATTTTCTATTTTTTTAAGTAAGTTAGAACCACTAAACTGATTTCACAACCCACTAACGGGTAGCAAAACACAGTTTGAATGAGAAAATCTAGATTAGCCACTATGAAGAACAGTTTGGAGGTTCCTTAGAAAAATAAACATAGAACTACCATATGATCCAGCAATCCCACTCCTGAGCATGTATCTGGAGAAAATTACAATTTGAAAATATACATGCACCCCAACGTTCATAGCAGCACTATTTACAATAACCAAGACATGGAAGCAACCTAAATGTCCATCGACAGATTAATGAATAAAGAAGATGTGGTACATATATACAATGGAATGCTACTCAACCATAAAAAAAGAATGAAATAATGCCATTTGCAGCAACATGGATGGACCTAGAGATTGTCATACGAAGTCAGACAAAGACAAGTATCATATAGATATCACTTGTATGTGGAATCTAAAAAGATGATACAAATGAACTTATTTACAAAACAGAAACAGGCTCACAGACTTTGAAAACAAACTTATGGTTTGTTTTCCAAAGGGAAACGGTGAGGGGAGGGATAAATTAGGAGGTTGGGATTAACACATACACACTATTGTAGATAAAACAGATAATTAACAAGGACCTACTAGCACCGGGAACTCTATTCAACCTCTATGGGAAAAGAATCTGAAAAAGAATGGATTATATGTATATGTATAACTGAGTCACTTTGCTGTACACCTGAAACTAACACAACATTGTAAATCAACTATATCCCAACATAAAATAAAAAATTTTGAAAGAAAGAAATGGCAAATATTGCCTTCAGTGCCAACTCTGATAAACTGGCAGTAGCTATCAAAGCTGTGATAAGAAAGACTATAAATCTGAATTCAAGAATAATATTAAACAATGCTGGGATTGATTTAGAGATGTCAGTAATGAACAGAGAAGAGGGAAAAAGAGGTACACATGCCATTTATTTATCATTCCTGATCAAGATCAAGATTCTAGATGAAAACTAAATGGGCTTTATTTTTACACAAGTCAGTGCAAATGTATATTTTTTTTCAAAGAAATGTATTTGCATATCTTGTATTCCTCTTGATCACAATATTGATTAACAATAGATTCTTATTTGAGCTTTACAAGAGGAATCCATTTTTAGAACCTGAAGAAGGGTAAATTTAGGTAAATATTGAGTGGAAGATTATCTTTTTTCTTCTTCCAGCTCATCTTCCTTCCTCCCTTTTCCCAAGAATGAATAGCTTAGCTTGCATGAATCCATTTCATGTTCCTTCTCATCCTCTTGGTCTGTTCTCAATTCAGCCCTATTGGCACAAATTACCCTGAACATTCCTCATGGAAGCAAGATCTAACCTAGACAAAAAGAAGAGTTAGCAAAGCAGAGGGAGGATGAAGAGAAGAATAAGCAGAGGTAAGAATATGTACAGATGTCTAAAGGCTAGAGAGCTCGGTTCATCTGGAGAACACGTAGTTCAGTACCACGGTTGCCTAGAGAACTACAGTTGACCCTTGAACAACATGCACGTTAGGAGCGCCAACCCTCCCACAGTTAAAAATCTGAATATTAACTTAAAAGTTGGCCCTCTGTATACACGGTTCCTCCATATCCACAGTTCCTCATCCACAGATTCAAGCAACCATGGATTATGTAGTACTGTAGTATTTACTATGGAAAAAATTCTGCATATAAGTGGACCCATTCAGTTCAAACTGGTATTGTTGAACAGTCAACTGTAGTAGGAAAAAATGAGACTGAACAGGTGTGTCAGGATGTATCATGAGAGATCTTATTTTTTCTTGTCTCAAGGAATCTTAACTGGTTTGGCTCTAAGCATGTAACAATTTGGGGATGTATATGCACATCCAAGGGAAATCTGTAATGGTAGGGGCAAGAGAGAGAAAAATCTGTCTTTCAAATTACATTTGGCCTTTGTACCAGCCCCTAACATGGTTCCAAACATGATACCCATTATATCATGGGTAGTCCCCTCCTACATTATACCAGGGTTGGTTTGTGTGAACACTATAATATGGCAGAAGTGATGTCACTTTCAAGTGCAGGTTAAGTAAGACACCGAAGCGTTCATCTTGGAAGTTCTCCCCCTTTCTTAGATCATTCACTCTGGGTGAAGTCACATCGTGAAATGCCCTATGGGGAGACCTATGTGCCAAGGTACTGAAGCCTCCTGCCAATATCCAAGTGAATGAGCTTGAAGAAGATCCTCTAGCCTGAGTCAAGTCTTCAGAGACTGCAGCCCTGTCCAATACCTTGACTGCAATCCTATGAGAGAACTGAACCAGAGCCACCCAGCTAAGCTGTTTCTGGAGTCTTGACCCTTAGAAACTATGAACTAATAAATGTTTGTTGTTTTAAGCTTCTGCGTTCTGGGGTAATTTGCTATGCAGCAATAGAAAACTAACACAGTCCTTCTCCCAGTTATCATGTGGTACTTTCACAGTTCAAAATCAGGCTACTTCTGTACTAGTTTTTAGTATTTTTAAAAAATTCCCTCCAAGTGTAAAAATATGAGAAAATATTTGACCTGTAATTTTCTTTTGCATCTTCCCAAGCAAGTTGTCTAAATTCCTCATACATTGTTTTATTGAAGTGATCTCTGAGGAAAAAGGACCAGAAACGAAAGAGGGTATTCATTTCTTGAGACTGGCCAATTCCCAAGTGTTTTCTCTCTGGAAAAAGTCAAAACAGCAGATGTTTTACATAGCGTAAAATAAAGAAAGCTGAAACATATTAATCCCCAATTGGGTTTCTTTTAAACAAAGAACAAATAATCCATTTTCTGACTCACTGCTCAAATTTAAGCATTTGTCAATAGTAACAAGAATATAGTAAGCTTTATTTCCTAATGTGTCTAAGCTACAAAATACATGAATAAAGAATATATATGAACACATTTACTTAAGGCAATTTTAACAAAGGACTATTTTAACCTGATATTAAATGTCACAACTTGAATTTTTTAGAATTATGTTTTAATTTTAAAGATAGCTATATAAAGGAAGGCTCTTACCACTTAGGCATCTTCTACGATACTTGTGGTACACTTGTTGGGTAAAGCCATTTTCCTTCAAAAGTTCGTGAGAAGGATGCTGGAACTTTGGGAATGAATGAGGAGTACATCCATAACTTCCTACTAGTGGTGCACCTCCTGAAGGCGAAGCATTTGAACTGCTGTTTGAGGAGGGGGAAAAAAGCCTTCAAACTGAAATATCAAGAACCAAGTGTTTAAACCAATTTGTACTATTTGTTTACTGAGAATCTGAGCAGTGGAAAAGGCATTAGTCCCTAAAACTCTCCTAAACTAATGATACACGGACCTACATATGAATTGCTATCTATGTTCAACACATGGGTAAATTCAGAAGTTGATAAAGGACATGGTCATAAATTCTCAAACTAAAACAATAAGTAGAAGCAGATAACTGACTAGCTAGCTTACTCTTCTCTTCCAGATACATTATTAATTTAGTTATATTTGTTTTTTTTTCTTATAGTACTGGGGAAATTTTCAATTTTCATGAGTAATTAGGTTAATGATATAAATTGAGTAAGTGGATAAAATCTGGCACAAAGGCAATATTTTCATTACCCTAAAGACATACCTGTAATTCTGTAAATCAATTTCACTTCTGAAATTTCGCCTATATCTATCTTTTCCTTTTCATCTTCACTCTGTTATTCAAATTGAGGCTTTCCTCCTCTTTCACTTGAACTAATTGGTCTCCTTGTTTTTTCAATCTCCCTCCTCTATACTGCCACCAAAATGATCTTCCTAAGACTGCTCTAAATCAGTGGTTCTCAATGTGTGGTCTGTAGATGCTTGGAGGGGTTCCCAAGAACCTTTCAGAAAGTCTGCAAGGTCAAAACTATTTTCATAACAATACTTAGACATTATTTGCTCTCTTCACTGTGTTTACATCTGTACTGATAGTACTAAACAATGGTGTATAAAACTGCTGATGCAAACTGAGTCAGTGGCACCAAACTTTACTTACTAGTGGTTATATTATTCACTGCTGTGTACTTGAAAAAAAATTTTTAATGCCAGTTTCACCTTAAGAGTTCCTTGATGAAGCAAAAAAAAAAATTAACTTTATGAAATCTCAACACTTGAGTACATCTCATTGTGTGTGACAAAATGGGACAGAAGCTTTAGTTTTGCAAAATGAGAACATTCTGGAGATATTTCACAACAACGTGAATATACTTAACACTACTGAACTGTACTAAAAATGGTTAAGATGATGAATATTTCATGAGTTTTGAATATGAAATGAGTATTTCATTGTGTTTTTTATAACAATTAGGGGGAGAAAAGCACTTTTGTAGCATATCAAAATATGATGGCTGTTGTTATGAACTAAATGTTTGTTGAATTCCTAACCCCCAATGTGACGGTACTAGGATGTAAAATAAGTCATGACACTAGAGCTCTCATGAGTGGGATAAATGCCCTTATGAGAGGAGACACAAGAGAGCTTCCTTCTTCTCTCTCTGCTCTCTGCCATGTGAGGATACAACAAGATGGCCATCTGCAAACTAGGGAGCAGGCCCTCACCAGATATGGGATCTGTTGGCACTTTAAGCTTGGATCTGTGAGAAATAAATATTTGTTGTTTAAGCTCCCCAGCCTATGGCATATTTGTTACAGCAGTACTAACTACAACAGTTGTCTTAAAGCACTCATGCAATAAAATTATGAGCCAAACTGTTTTTTGCATGGAATACCATTTTTAACTAGAAGAATAGCCAACAAATTATGGTTATTCAGACTTTGTTTTGTGTCAGACATTTCCTTGAAAATGAACAAAATGAGTCTGTAACGTTCAGGAAAAATTCGAGCTTTCATGCAAAAATAAGAATTTTGGAAACTTTGTATTTGTCACTATGAGCCTAGTAATTCCCACTCATACCTAAACACTTATCTAATAAAATCAATGCTGGGTTATTTTTTAGGAGTTTGTGTGTGTTGTAAAATATATATGATATTTGTAATTTTAGCCATTCTTAAGTGTACTACTCATCAGCATTAAATATTCACAATGTTATATAACTATTACCACTACCTCTACCAAAACCTTCTTTATCATTCCCAACAAAAACTCTATCCATTAAATAATGAATAACCCCTTTCCCTCTCCCTGCAGTCCCCAGTAACCTCTATTTTACTTTGTCTTTGACTATTCTAGGTACCTCATATAAGTGGAAACATACTATATTCATCCTTCTCAGTCTGCCTTATATCACTAAGCATGTTCTCAAGGTCCATCCATGTTAAAGCTGAAATCAAAATTTCATTTTTTATGTGGTTGAATCATATTCCATTGTATGTATATACCTATGTTTATCTAGTCATCTGCTGATGGACTCTAGTGTTGTTTCCACCTTCTGGCTATTATGAATAATGCTGCTATAAACATGGCATAAAAATATCTGTTCAACTCCCTCTTTTCAATTCTTTTGGATATATACCTAGGAGTCAAATAGCTGGGTCATGTGTTAGTTCTGTGTTTTACCATTTTGAGAAAATGCCAAACTGCTTTCTACAATGGCTGCAGCATGTTATATTTCCAAGAGCAATGCACAAGGTTCTAATTTCTCCACATCCACACAAACATTTGCTTTCAGTTTTTTTGATTATACATATCTGTATTAGTCAGCTCAGCTGCCATAACAAGATACCACAGACTGGATGGCTTACACAATAGAAATTTATGTTCTCACAGTTCTGGAGGCTAGAAGTCCAAGATCATAGTGCCAGCAGTGTTGGTTTCTGGGAAGGCCTCTCTTCCTGGCTTACAGAGAACCACCTTCTCATTGTGTCCTCACATGGCCTTTCCTCTGTCTACACGCAGAAAGAGAGAGATCTCTGGTGTCTCTTCCTCTTCTTATAAGGTCAGATTAGGGCCCCATCGTATGGTTTCATTTAACCTTAATTATCTCCTTAAAGGCCCTATCTCAAATACAGTCAAGCAGGGGGGTTAGGGTTTCAGCATATAATTTCAGAGAGACAATTCAGTCCATAACACCATCCTAATGGGTATGAAGAGATATCTCACTGTGGTTTTTGATTTGCATTTCTCTAATGATTAATGATATTGCACACATTTTCACGGGTTTATTGGCCATTTGTATATCTTCTCTGGAGAAATGTCTATTCAAATCCTTTCCCAATTTTTGAATTGGGTTTTTTGGGAGACTTCTATATATTTGGAATATTAACCTGTTATCAGATATATAATTTGCAAATATTTTCTCCTATTCAGTAGGTTGTCTCTTCACTCTGATAGTTTCCTTTGATACACAGAAGTTCATAATTATGATGAAGTAAAATTTATCAATTTTTCTCTTTTATTGTCTGTGTTTTTGGTGTCATGCTCAAGAAATCACTGTCAAATCTAGGGTCATAAAGATGTTCCCCTACATTTTCTTCTAAGAGTTTTACAGTTTTAGCTGTTAAGTTTAGATCTTTGATCCATTTTAATTTTTTGGTATTTGGTATAAAGTATGGATCCCATCCTTTCACACGTTGGATATCCAGTTTTCCCAGCAACATTTGTTAAAAAGATGACCCTCTCCTTCACTGAACAGTCTCAGCACCCTTGTAGAAAATAAACTGACCATATATGACAGATTTTATTTCTAGACTCTCTATTCCATTGGTCTATACATCTGTCCTTATGCCAAGACCATACTGTTTTAATTATTGTAGCCTTGTAGTAACTTTCAAAGTTGGGAAGTGTTGGTCCTCCAATTTTATTTTTCTTTTTAAGGTCATTTGGGCTTTTCAGGGCTCCTTGCAATTCCATATAAATTTGAGGATCAGCTTTTCCATTTTTGTGAAAAAGGCTATTGGAATTTTTGTAGGGATTGTGTTAAATCTATAGATCACTTTCGATTGTAATAATGTCTTAACAATGTTAAGTCTTCCTATCCATGAAAATGGATTGTCTTTCCATTTATTTAGGTCTCCTATAATTTTTTCAGCAATGTGTTTTGTAGTTTTCAGTGTATAAGTCTTTCACCTCCTTGGTTAGATTTATTCCTAAGTATTTAATTTTTAGATGCTAATGTAAATAGAATTGCTTTCTTAATTTCCTTTTCAAATCATTCAATGCTGCATATAGAAACACAAGCTGATTTATGTGTATTTTGTACAGTGCAACTTTGCCAAATTTGTTTATTAGCTTCAGTTTCTTTCTTGTTGATTCTTTGTAATTTTCTATTTATGGAATCATATTATTTGTGACTAGAGATAGATTTACCTCTTCCTTTCATATTTGATGTCTTTTCTTTCATTTTCTTCTCTATTAGTTCTGGCTAGGACTTCCAGCACAACAGTGAATACCAATGGCAAAAGCGTGTATCCCTGTCTTGTTCCTGATCTTAGGGGGACAGCTTTCAGTCTTTCACCATTGAGTATAATGCCAGCCATGGGTTTCTCATAAATGCTTTTTTCATGTGAGGAATTTTCCCCCTAATCCTAGTTTTCTAAGAGGTTTTAATCATAAAAGTTGGATTTTGTCCTTTCCTATGTCAATTGATATGATTATGTAGTTTTTCCCTTAGTTCTATTAATATGATGTATAATGTTGATTTTCTTGTATTGAACCACTCTTGTACTACTGGGATAAATCCTGCTTGCCATGGTGAATAATCATTTTATTATGCTATTGGATTTCATTTGTTAATATTTTGTTGAGGACATATGCATCTATATTCATAGGAATACTGGCATATAATTTTATTTTCTTGTGATATCTTTATCTAGTTTTGGTATTAGGGTAATGCAGGCCTCAGAGAATACATATTCCCTTCTCTTCAATTTTTTGAAGGAGTCTGAAGAGAGTTAGTGTTAATTCTTCTTCAACTATTTGGTAGAACTTAATAGTGAAGCAATTTGGTCCAGAACTTTCTTTGTTAGGGATTTTTGATTCCTGATTTGATCTCTTTACTTCTTATAGGTGGGTCGAATCTTCTATTTCTTATTGAATCAGTTTAAGTAATTTATATGTTTCAAGGAATTTATGCATTCCTTCTAGGTTACCTAATTTGTTGATGTATAGTAATTTGTTCATAGTATTCTCTTAGGATCCCTTCTATCTCTATAAGGTCAGTAGTAATGTCTCCATTTTCATTTCTGATTTTAGTTACTTATATCTTCTTTTTTT